GCAGAGCAACCCAATATGGAGGAAAAATCAACAATAGGGGGATTCAGAAATTGAGAAATTGAGAAACTTATTGGGATCTCTTGAGAAGCCTTCTGGAGCATGTTCGATAGCTCTTTCAGGTAAAACTGTTTGCATGAATGTCTTAAACAAATTATATACCAACTCTTGGATCATTGACTCCGGTGCTACTGATCATATGACCCCCACATCTCAACTCTTCCATTCCTATAACCCCTATCCAAGTAATAGAAAAATTATCATGGCCAATGGGTCCTTAGCTACCGTTGCAGGGATTGGTGATATAAATATCACTCCTAGCCTTATCTTGAAAAACATTCTCCATGTACCCAAACTGTCAACAAGCCTTGTGTCCATTCAAAAATTGACTCATGATCTCAAATGTTATGCTGTTTTTTTCCCTTCTTATTGTGTTTTTCAGGAACAGGACTCGGGGAGGAGGATTGGACTTGCTAAGGAAAGGAGCGGTCTTTACCACCTTGAACCATCCCAGAAAATCAGGAGCAATTTGTCCTCATCTTTCCTTAGTTCCTCAAACAAAGATGTCATTTGGCTGTATCACTTACGTCTTGGTCATCCGTCTTTTAGAGTTCTAAATATAATGTTTCCTCCATTATTCCAAGGATTAAATATTTCTGAGTTTCATTGTGATTTTGTGAATTGGCAAAACATAACCGTGCATCTTTTCCTATTAGCAATAAAAGAAGTTCTCATCCTTTTCATCTAATTCATAGTGACATATGAGGTCCTTCCACTATACCTAATGTTTCTGGGGCTCGTTGGTTTGTATCCTTAATTGATAATTGCACTCGGGTTACATGGCTCTTTCTTTCTAAACAAAAATCTGATGTTAGCTCAGTTATACCTAACTTCCATTCAATGGTTCAAAATCAATTTGGGGTCAAAATAAAAAGCTTTAGGACTGACAATGCTAGAGATTACTTCAATCAAATTCTTTCACCTTATTTTCAATCACAGGGGATTATCCATGACTCATGATGTATGGACACACCCCAACAAAATGGGGTAGCTGAAAGAAAGAATGGGCATTTACTCAACATCACCCGAGCCTTACTCTTTCAAGGGAATGTTCCTAAGTCCTATTAGGGAGAAGCCGTTCTTACTGTCACACACATGTTTAATAGACTTCCCTCCCGTGTGTTAGAAAATAATAGCCCCATAGTGGTCCTAAATAGCTTCTACCCTCACTTCAGAACCTCAAATGGCCTCACTCCCAGGGTATTTGGGTGTACTGCCTTTGTTCATGTCCACAAACAACATAGAGGGAAGCTAGATCCCAGAGCCATCAAATGTGTGTTCCTGGGTTACTCCTCCACTCAAAAGGGATATAAATGTTACAACCCCTCTACCAGAAAATTTTACATCTCTG